TTACTGGGTTATAAACATGCTATTTTTTGATGATGGTTCTCTCGTCTTGATAAAGGAGTAAAGACAAGGTGAGAGTACCATCGTCGAAAGTTGCATGAAACCAGTAGCTGTTGTATAATAAATCTAATGATTACTGACAAAAGAAAACAACATGTGACAACCCTTGTGGGCGTATGTTTCGCTGCCTGGCAACCTATCTTTAACACCTCCGATCATTATTTGAGGGATTTGTGCAAATTGCAATGATGTGAATGTTGTATCTCTTCCATATACACCATAAATGATACCCATCTTGGCCCGTTTGGCAAAATTTGTCCTTATCATCCAAAGTGCCTACAAAGTGTATATTCCGCAAGTATGGATCATGTGCTACCAAGACAAATAGTTCTGAAATATACATATACATTTAATATAATTTTTCAAGGCAACATTTGTCATCATAGTTCTACAGTCCACAAAAAACTCGAAAAAAGTCTTAAATTAAAAATTATTTTCATAGTGTTACTACTTTCACTAAGAAAGTCACTATCGTTGCCGTAATCAACATTATTCAAGTCCTTGTTATCACTTACAAGTATTCTAGCCTGTGCCCATTTTACTGTTACATGTCTGATCGCCATTCATGACCGTAAAACAATATTTTCAGGAATATTTGTGTTGCGTCTGCGAATGAAGAGGGGGAAGCCCTCACTGCGGACGACACATTGTAACACGTCTTCTGATTGGTCTAGTCTTGATGGAATTCCAAGTGAGTCATGCCAGTGAGTCGCCAAGGAAAGCGGGGAAAGCCCTTGCTATACACAACACATGCAGTGGCGGAGCAGGGGGGGGGGGGGGCGGGATTCATTAACCTATAAAGAGTAACACTGTATATTTCAAAACCAAATGAACACCACTAAGAAATTTGTACAAAATGAAAGTTAAAAAAAAAATGAACATTTCACTAATGGATTAGTGTTTGTCTCAAATTTTGCATAACTAGCGAATATGAACAAGTCAAACTAGCTAATTAAAGGCTCCCATTGGTTTAATTCTTGTTTAAGTATTATTCAGTTATTATATGACCAATATGTTAAAGAAATATATCCCCTCAAAATTAATAATAAAACTACACACATCCAATCATATCTTAGCTAGTGGCTTTTAAGCCTTTTGCTTAACATTATTTTTCTTAGCTGCTGATCCCCTCTTGTCTAAAGTTTAGCCTGAAACCATAAAAAAACTGAAAGTAGCATTGTGTAATTAATGAAAACATGGATGAGGCTTTTGTTGGTCATGTATCTAGTTAATTAGCCAGCCTTGAAAACATGGGATGCTGGGAGGGTATTTTGTGCTGATAGAAATATTCAAATTGATCTGTGGTTTAATCTATATTGACCAAGAGGTCTGGATGTTAATGAAATGAGGCAAGTTTTTGTCCGAAAGTTTCTAACACATTGTTCATTCCCATCAGATCTTACAATAGCTGAGGCCAGTGATATTATACTTTGATTTTCTTGGTAACAGAATCATGGCACGGAAATCATTACCAAGTAAATTAAGATGGTTGACAGTGTGTCAAACTTTACCAATGAAATTAAAGCAAACATTGGTAATCTGTATAATAAAATGGCCCTTTCCTTAGTTTCCTATCAACTTGTGTTCAACCAATCGTTACATCTGACACAAAACGTGTGAATAAAACAGAAGGAAGAACAGAGTTCAAGAACTTGAATTTTAAATTACGATTATTTATGATATTCGTGGATTAAAACAATTCCTCATGCTAATCAGTTGATATTGTTTCTTACAATAGACACATTTGATCTGTGATTTTTTGATTTTGTGAATAATAATTATTGGTATAAATATTTTCCTCATAATTAACACTACAGACATTTAAAAGTTAATGTAATAAATTTAAAGAAAAGAACTTATAGGAAAATAATGAATAGACTAAAGCAGATTTCCTGGAAGACCACCCACATACAATAAATTGAAATCAATCTTATTGTTATTTAATCTTTTAGTTTCCTGATTTGATTTGTGAAAACAAAAAAGAATGCTTCAAAATATTAGAGATTTTGTTCTTAATAATGTCTTCACATAATAGTGAAACCTGTGTAATGCATATGATAAGGAAATTCTACTTCTGCTACTTGAAATTGAGTTAATTAAAGCAATATCATTATTCCTCAAAATTTGGAATGACCTGACATATTATTCTATTAGTGAGTACAGGAGATCCACATCAGACATAAGAATTCCCTAGAAACTCACAGATATTGTAGGCCATATAGATGACATTAAATCGGACGGTAAGCGTTGACTAAACAGACCAGGATCTGCAATGACACAGACTTGACTTAAACTGTTGAACATGTATAACTTCAACAATTGATTATTAAAGATACATTATGGGAGATTAGATAAAGAGCTGGCAATTCTCACTTTAATAGTTAAAAACTAGATAATGTAAAGGGAATTTGCTGAAATTTCAGTCAAATTGATCCACTATGAACGGAGATTTTAGCTATTGAATTTTTGGCCTAGCCTTGATTATCATTACCAAAGTCGGTAGGATAAAAAAAAACATAGTCTCGATTATCCATTTTATGATTAAATCATGAACGAAAGTTGAGCCGAAAATCGGAACATAATCCAATAAATATAGTAGAATCTGTATTAAGCAGACACCCAAGGGAATTTTCACGACTGACCGCTTAACGGGAGTGGCCTCTTATTCTTAATAAAATCTTACGCTTTGGTGCATTGGAAGCAAACATCAAAACTTAAATTTGACTGTCGCTGAATCTTGCGCCGAAGGAAAATTCTTTACTCAAGTCTGGGACATAACTTCTGTAAATTTGTCATTTTGTACCAACCTTCGATACTACTGTCTACCATTGTGATGCATTTGATAATATTTATCCATTTTTGTGAAGAAAACCGATGAATTAATTTTATTTTATCAAAAAAAGCACATGGACAAAAAAACATCACTGATTTTGTCACCGATTTACAGGGGGTGTAACTCTGTATGTAATATTATAGGAGGGGCTAAAACGTCTGTGTAACAACAAAGTGGCAATGGAAGATAGATACTAGATGATTGTGACAAAACTCGGCTTCTGTCGGTACTTTATTTTATTCAATCAGTATCAAATAATGTGTTGTTACGCGTGAAAACGATGATCAGGTTAGTCGTTTAAAAAAGAAAAGATTAATTAACAGATAATCCTGGGTTTATTGTTATTTTCACATTTCTTTTTACCTGATCAGTGGAGGTCCAGTTAATTAACTACTACTCACAGGATTAGTGGAGGTGTTATGAATAACGACAAGATGCTATCATTCAACAATGGCCGTTGAATGGGCAATGTTTTGTTAAATTTATTAGTAAAATAGTGACCGCTGGCCGTGTTAGAGGAGTGACAATTGAATAAAGGATGAAACAATAGAATTTTTACGGGGGGAATTTATCATGACCGCTTACAAGGAGATGTTGCTGAATAGGAGTAGCTGCTCATACAGATTCTGCTGTATAGCAGGTTAGCCATGCCATCGAGAGTTGATTATGGTCTGGATAAATTAATTAATGTCTGTTTAATAATTAAGATAATATTTCAGGCCAAAAGAAAGACCCGCAATAGGCAGATTTAGCTCTTGCATAATGTATGGTTAAATATTTAATTCATCAGTCATCATTTGTAAGGGATTAAACAAAAAATCTATAGCCACCCTTGTATAATATACATTTGAGTGCACATAAAATAACACTTGGCAGTTGGAATTTGATAAAGGTTAGACAGAAATGCATCCATCTGGGCAAAAAATGACCTTTGCATTGCACATATAATCACTGGAATGAAAAATATGGTATGTTAGTTTTATAATAACCAAAGTATTGTATTGTTGAGATGTTAAATTTTATTCTGTTATATTATGTTTAGTATATCATTACAAAACATCTGTTTTCCACATTTTAAATAAGGAGGTCCTATTCCTACTTTTTTGGCTACATCAAATTTTTTACGGCTAGCAATATAAATGTGGAATAATGATATATTCTTTATTCAAATTGTCGGTCAAAGTCTTCTTACATAAAATGAACTACCTTTTTTTTAAAGTTTATAAAGTAAACAAGCACTAACAGATTATGGCAAGTCAGTTGTTAATAATATGGTTATATCAGGGTCTGTGTTGGTCATAGACTACACAAGTTGCCAAAACATTGCCAAGTACTTGATAAAGCTTGTCTATTATATTTAACAGATCAAGTATAAAAACTAATTGTCACAAACTATATAACCTCGTTGTGACATAATAACAGGCTTGTATTTATTGACATGCAATAACACAAAGTTACTGAATGATGTTTTCTCTGATGGAATGTTGAGAAGACCCACTTTATTGAATTGATTAGTAGAAGCTTACCAGATTGAAATGAAATGGGGTTTAACGTCCCACTGTTCTGCTCCTATACTGGGCTAATGAAGACGGGCATATGCCATACAGTGTGCTATGAGGGAAATTTTGCCCGGACAGCGGCACTATCGCCTACTCTTATATAGAATTCCAACTGCCGGGGGATCTTTTACGTGCATTCCAATATATACACAGGACCTCGGTTTTTCGTGTCATCCGAAGGACTAGACAGCTGTCCTTGTCAGGCCCTCCGTCCTGCATCACTGACAAGGGGGAACCACGCCGGAAAATCTGGATGAACTTTCTCGGCCAATGCAGGGATCGAACACCCGACCTCCAGGCTAGCGAGCCAGCGTCTTACCCACTTAGCCATGTGATTCCCTTTGCCAGATTGAAATAGTCATCATATATTATTAGATGCTTAAAATAAATGATAACAAAAAGTAGTTTTAATGCCCAAATGAAATTCGGGCTGAAGATGGCATAAAACATTGTCACATAATTCCTTAAACATAAAACATGATTTATAAGCTTACAATAAAATGATTTTTATTAATAATGTTTCAGTAAATTATTTGATACATTTTTTTTAGAGAAAAGGAAGATGATTTAGAAAGAAGATGTGATTTATTAAAACGAGAATTACAAGCTATGATGGCCATAGATGGTAAGTGTTGAAAACCATCTTTATCGTCAGCATTCAGCTGATAATAATGATTTGTGGTAACAATACAATATACATGCTTTTAAATTAAACATACCATAGTTCCAAATTCATGCTTTCTTTGGAGATGAGATTATGTTGGGAGCTATTGATTGCATCAGGTATTTAAAAAATTGTCCTGTACTGATGAAGTTTTAAGATATACATCATCCTCGGTATTCCCAGTGGTCTCATTCCGTTTCACACCACCAACCTCTGGGTTAATCCATGGGGAGGAGGGGGGCACACATTTTCAAGTTATCTGCCCTTGATGATTATGCTATTTTTATTGACCAGTCCCATAAATCGTTAATTGCAAAAGAAGATGGCAATGGGAAGGAACACTGATCGTGTTGTAAACTGTTTTTTTGATTGGTTCGCAGACTCAAGCTACGATCAAGGTCTGAGCAAATAATGTGAAATCATGAAAAACCTATGGATTAACCCAGGGTATAGTGGAGTAGAACGGAATGAGACTACTAGGGAAACCGAGGATGGATATACACTAGATAGGCATACAAAGTTTGGTAAAAAAAAAAGAAAACCTGATCCTGTCCAATCCATTTATTAGCATAAATTTATGTACAACAAACATTAATCCCTTTAGACTCAATTTTTTTTTCTAGCACTTAATTAGTTAATTAGATAATTCAAACAGTTTAAACACAGACCACTTGAAGTTTTAGATAATATGGTCAAATAAAAGGAAAGGACAAGAAGAGGCTACCTATAACAAAAGTAGCAGACAGGCTTGGGGGGAGTTATAAGTGGTATTTATCCAGGCGAAATGTTCGCCTCTAAAACCCTGTCAAACATGTTTGTGTTTCAGCCACATTAGGCAGTGAAATACATTATATTTGGTTGACCATCTGAATTGTCTCAAATGGTCTTTCTTACTTTAGGCTATTTTATTTAGAGCAACTCAGTAAGCATACAATATGTTTTAAAGCAAACAATAAGAGGAAATAGGCTTCAAGCTAAAATACTTTAAAATGATATTACCCTGCAAAAACTTGTGTCTTTTTTATGTTCTCTTTTAATGGATCCAGATGGTTCAATAATTATTCTTGAAAATATAATAGAAAAATGAAAGTGTTGCCATATTCCATTATTAAAGTCATTACTATCGAATTTCATTTTGCCTGCATATGATAAGGTAGTCACTGGTAAGTAGATTTGTGCAGAGAGCACGTCTAGGTCCTTGTACAATTTGTAGAACCTTTTTAACCCTCAAACGGCGAATATTTAAAACTTATCTGTATGAAATTGTCTTGTAAATACCCCCCATTACCTACAAAGAATAAATATGCGACAACTGTTATCGGCAGTCGGAAGATTTACTTGTTGTGTGCGTATGTTTCGTTGCCTGGCAAACAATCTTTTATTAATGTCATCCACACTTCATCTAACATAATGTTAAAGTTTCAATTTCTAGAATTTTGAAACTACAAAGGGATATCTTTAAAATGCATTTAGTGAAAGCAATATATAATAAAAAACGGCTTTATGGATAACATTGACTAGGTTTATTAACTGCAACATTAATGGTATATATCAGTAATATATAGTTTCTTATTCACTGGTTGTTTTTAACCTTTATTTGTAATATGGAGATTAAGGGTTTATTATTATCAATTTTTATTTTAGCATGAATTTGTAGATTTCATTCCTTTTAAGGGTTTCTTATTGATTAATAATAGTTTACTTAGGTATGTGGTTTGACTTTGAATGGCTTCGGCTTTAAATTGTTAATTAGTTTATTATTGTTATCCATTTATTTGTATATAACCTTCTGTAACATGTTGATTGTATCATTGCTTGATAACAGTGAGAGTACCCTCATTTAAACGTTGCAGTTAATAAACATAGTGAATGTTATCCATAAAGCTGTCTGTTATTATAACAAAGGGATAGTATAATAATAAAAAAGAAATAGAAAATGTTTTTCACACTTTTGACTGTTTCTTTCCATTGTGTGTATTTATTTTGATTGTATGGAATAAAAAATAAAAAAGTACCAGCTTAAATCCCTTATAGTTCTATAAACAATTTAAGAAATTAACATATATAATTATTCTGTAACATGCTTTAATGTATAACTTAATAAACCTTTAAATGAAAGAAAAGTTATTGTAAGATATAACAACCATTCTGTTACTCTGTATCAAAATTCATAGAATATTAGTCACAGAGTAATATTTTGAAATGAAATAAACCTTCAATATTTTATTGTCAGGGGATTATAGAGAGATATTACAGTATGATGAAAAAATGAAATATTAAGAATCTGATGTCAGTTATGATAGAATTAAGACGCCACGTGACATGACATGTAACGGCACCACATCCCTTGTCGACACGAGATTGTTGTGTTTTGGCACCATATGCTGCATGTTTACTTGGGACACAAAGCTAGATCACATTTCTTGTAACTGTCAAAATCAATCTTTAGTTTGTTTCTTTGACAACACTTTAACTTGTGTAGCCAGATAGAAACAGGTAAATTGACACTAAATACTTTGTTTGGGAAATAATGGACCCTCCCTTTGTACGCGTGGCAACTTGATTAAGTAGAGAAAAACTTTGTTACAAAATGAAAGTAAAACTGTGCAAATTAAGATGTTAAAATATTGTAGTTATTGGGTGGTGTATGTCCGTTGTGTTACCACCTGTCATAAAGAGTTTTAGCTAATGTCTCAAGTAGTATGGACAGCGGTCAGGAACAACAAGGTCATTTTACTTTCTGACCACTTTACTGTCTCACTCCATCTTCTCATCTTATTCTATTATGTTACACTGTCCTTTATTAATGATTTTGTTTTACAACAAGATAACTGACATCATCATACATGTTTATGGAGTTCTATAAAGCAGCAATCTTTATATTAAAAATAATCATGGTTCCAGTGATCCTGGGAATGTTTAGTTCTGTTTACACACCTTGCTCATAAAATAACAGCTTTGGTTAATTTATAACAAATGATTGGTGAGGTATACTGTTTGTAATTTTTGGACATCTCCATCTCTTGTTTTTTTTTGGTTGATAAAATGATGTTTTTTGCATTAACCTTATCGTGCCAGGTATGTTCTGACGTCACAACGACTGATTGTCAGGCATACGATACCATCCTCAAGTTTCTTCTAGTAGTATGTGAACTTTGAGCCTCTTAGAAAGAAAACTATAAGAGATAGATTCTCTGTGTTATAAGAAATGTTTGTTGTAAATTAACCAAAGTTAATTGATATTGACCTCAATTTTCATTAATGTTATAATATCACAATTCTGAAATTAAGTTTCAACCTCATCTCAAATTACACAATGAGGGATTGTGTTTTTAACAGTCTTCTACTAACTCAGAATTAAATAATAGAATGTAAACATGACTGTTGGGGTATTAATCAACATTTAGGGTTTCATAAGAATTAAAATTCAGTAAACAGGATTTGTATTTTTGTGAATGCAAAACAGAACCAAGTTTTATTATAATTACAAAAACAAAATGGTATTACAGTAAACTTCTCATAAGTCGGATCTAAATGGACTGACCAGTTTTATCCGAGTTAAGTGAAGATCCGAGTTAGCCGAAGACCGAAATTCAATCTTAGCTCGATTAGAAATAAACTGCAAGAACTGCATAATAATTGATTCAAAGGCACATTTTAAGCTTTTGTTCATATGTACGAGTAGGTAACTTCCGTTTTGATGCAAGTAAGTAACTTCCGTTTTGTCGCCATCTTTGAAAAATGTCCTAAATTTTCCCGGAAAGTGTCTCTTACAGCAGACAGCAAATTTGGAATTTTCCGGGAAAATTCTATTATTATGTCGCGTCAAATAGGCTGATTTGAGTCAAAATGATAGAGGAAAGTATTTTGGGGCTCTGTGCATGGAATACCAAATCAAGTTTTAGACCATCGGGACGAAACTGACAGTGAAATTCTGAACATACTGCCGATCCGACTTAGGCGAAGGGACAAAGCCGGAATTAGATCAAATGGACCAAACATTTTGATCCGAGTTGAGCAAAGATCCGATTTACGCGCAGAAATTTAATAAGAAAAACGTGCAGGATCAAAGGGTCCAAACAATTTTATCTGAGTTGAGCAAAGATCCGACTTATACGTATGCAACTGATGCGAGGTTTACTGTATATACTTCTGTTGTATATGGTATGAGGAAGACAAAAGACATTATATTATTTGTTGTTTTTTTTTTTAGATTGGCAGAAGACGGAAGCCCAGAAGAAAAGAGAACGTTTATTATTAGAAGAATTAGTTAATGTTGTTGATAAAAGAGATGAATTAGTACAGCATCTTGATACACAGGAACGAGCGTAAGTACATATTATAAACCAGATTAAAAGAGAAAGAGAGCTTCACATGAATAGAATATGAACTATGTAGTGTGTGGCTGTACTGTAGAGATTGACAATAGGTTAATTTCATTTCATTAAGATAGTATTATGTAAAAGATATAGGAAATACAACAGTTTCCATCTACTCTATATTGAGAATTATTTGCCTGCTGATAAACATTTTATATGCCCACATTTTGTTTATGGACACTCTACAGGTCCCAATTTTTATCTGATTTTGACAAAACTTGAAATATAAGTTTATATCCCAAAGATCTTGGTTGGCTAAGTGGGTAAGAAGCTGGCTCGCTAGCCTAGCCTGGAGGTCAGGTGTTCGATCCCTGCATTGGCCGATAAAGTTCATCCAGATTTTCCTTTGTGGTTCCCCCTTGTCTGTGATGCAGGACGGAGGGCCCGTGTACACATTGGAGTGCATGTAAAAGATCCCCTGACAGTTGGATTTCGATATAAGAGTAGGCCGTAGTGCCGCTCTCTGGGCAAAATTTCTCTCATAGCACACTGTATGGCGTATGCCCGTCTTCATTAGCCCTGTTCGGAGCAAAACAATAGGACATTAAACCCCATTTCATTTCATTTAATTTCCCAAAATCTGGGTTCCTTTCGATTTTCGTGCTTATCGGACCTTAACTTACTGGTTTAAGGCCCCTGATTGAACGAATAATTGCATTTTTATCCGATTTTAAAAACTGTTCAAATATATCACCGTTACACCATAATGATGGTTGAGTTTGAATACGGTGAAAATTGGACCGAAACTGCTCGATAAAATGGTTGCTAAGTGTACACAAATAGTGTCAAAGTATGTAATACGTACTTTAGTTTTTATCCCGCGCCGAACGAAGTTAAGGAGGGATATTGAAATGGGGTCCGTCCGTCCTTCCGTCCGTCCGTCCGTCCGTTTTCGTTTCCGGAGCATATCTCATAAATCGTTCAAGATATATTTCTGAAACTTTGCACACATATCAACCTATTACAGTAGTTGTGCCTTTTGCTATTTAGGAATTTCTGGGATTTATATTTTTTGTGTTTCCATGGAGACAAATTTGACTTAGTTTTTGGTGTATAATTTTGTTTCCGGAGCATATCTCATAAACCGTTCAAGATATCTTTCTGAAACTTTGCACACACATCAGCCTATTACAGTAGTTGTGCCTTTTGCCATTTAGGAATTTCTGGGATTGATATTTTGTGTGTTTCCATGGAAACAAATTTTACTTAGTTTTTGGTATACAATTTTGTTTCTGGAGCATATCTCATAAATCGTTCAAGATATCTTTATGGCACTTATTTTGAATTTCTCAGATTTGATAATTTTATGTGTTTCCATGGAAACACATTTGACTGTTCAAGATACCTTTAAAATAATTTTACCCATTATTTTATTTTCTGAAATCCAGCCTTCCATCCTGATTTTGTTTCTGGAGCATATTTTATTATCTGTTCAAGAAATCTTTTTGAAACTTTGTACAAACATTAACCTATTATAGTATTTTATTTTCTGATGTATAAGCAGCTAATTGAGGTAGGCAAAGGTTGCTGTGAAAGCTTACAGGGAGTAGCGACCCTGCCTTGCCGAGCTACTGTGATCAGAGTATGAAATTCTGTGAATTGATATTCCATGTGTCGGAATATGATATTTGTCTAAAGCTCCAGTTCCCTCCACTTGCAAAATATCTCTATTTTCTATGTAGTCATGTCTAATTTTTAAAACCAGAGCTCAATGTCATAAATTATCTCAAATCTTCTAGTAAATATCAATCAGTCATTTGTTTTCAGGAATAGAGAGCAATATCTACTAAACAGGGCCACAATATTAGGACCAGTGACAGTGTTTGCGAAATCTGATACATTTTTATATTGATTACCAATAGCATAAACAAGTTATTTTTCCTTATTTCTTCCAAACAAGTGCAAGGGCGCGGGATGTTGATGACTAGTCATCTTGTATAATTTGCAATTTCCATTACTCCACAATACCATTGTCACAGTGTTAAAATATAGAATACACTTTTCAATAATACAAATGCAGTATAATAAGGTAAATCCCATATAAGGTATATGTTCTGATATGCTAAGTTCTATTTATTATGCATTTGTCTTTTATGCAAAATGCAGAATACAGAAGTGTAATGGGCAAAATAACTATTATACTGTATTTTGTATTATTGAATAGTGTATTCTGTATTTTAACACTGTGACATTGGTATTGTGGAGCAATGAAAATTGCAAATTGTAAAACTAAAATCGATATTTTGAACTGCTGACATATGCATTTTGCACCGTGAACATTGAAATAATATTGGCAACGTTATCTTTCCATAGATTTCATCATGAAATGCTCCACCAAATACAAAATAGATGACACCATTAAATGGATGTCATGAACTTTTGAAATTTGAAAGATCAACCATTTCTTTTCCGATAACAAATAAAACTTTATCTTATATTCACACCCAAAACAGCAGAAATCAATATAGCAATAGACTTCTCCTCCATCTTGGTTTGGAAACTTTCTTGACCTGATGAGTTGTACAAAAGACATTATAATAACACTTGAGATTCAAAGACATGTATTATAAAGTTTTATTTAAACTAGATATTAGAATATTGATTCTTTATTGCTTCATATGGTATAGATTATAAACCTATATTCCATTTGTTATTATACGGTATTGACAGATAGAATTAAAATTTGGCTATGTCAGATTTGGAATAGTTCTATTTAAACATGAAATATATAAGCCACATTTAATGTCGAGAGAGAGTTGAAATATATATTGGTATTATGTACATGTTATATATTTATGTACAGTTGAATATAAAACAGATAGAAAGTTTGCATATCAGTCAAATATCAAAAGTTGTTCTCACATTTTAAGCCAAAATCTTCACAGGGGTCTCTCTATGTTTATTATGGGTAAGGAGATACGAGTCACATGATACATCACGACACAATATACAAATAGAAATAAAGTTTATATGTGCGCAAGTAAGTAGATCAAGCAATTGTTCGTTAATTATTTGTGGGGTCAGAAACATGATAACAATGTAGTGAATAGACAAGAAGGCACCGTAAGGCAAGCCTGCACTCTCACCATGTTCATTTGATACCATGAGCAAACATTGTACACTTTATTGAACATGGCTGAATTTGTGAACCAATAAACAGCACAATAGCTGTGATCAATTTGATATACAAAAACAGTAAATTATAATTCAGCATTTTTATCTCTACCTCACCATAAAGAAGATGAAGATGGTTTTAAAGACATATATTGATGAGATAGCTAAGATACTCAACATGATGGTTTATTTTGACTGTGTTTTATTTCATGCTGTATCATATAACAATGATTAAGGATATCAACTGGTATTATGATATTGATATCTCATTCAAGCATACTGACATACAATATTGTCAGTAAATATGTTACTAAAATCTGTACACATTCCATCAAAGTTTGAAGGTTTATTGAAAGGAAAGAACAGATTTCAAAAGAAATGATTAAACTTACTAAGTACTTGTCTTTATCGGTGAGCTTTAGATCCTGAGTAGCAGAATGATGTAGGACAAATATTACTAGGTTTCAACAAATTATTTTGAGATCAGCAGTGTATTTTTTGGGGCAAAGTTCTGTATGTTTTGACAGACGTCTACAGTACTAAACTTTAAAACTTCATCCTGTGGTGATTGACTTTTTATAAGGAAACTCAATTTCTGATTCTGATCAACAGTGTATTTGTTTTGGTGGAAGTAAAGTAGGCCTACTTTTGGTGGCCTTTTATGGCACTATACTTTAAAATTTCAATCTGTCGAGGTAGAACTGAAGAAAATTATTGTAATTTCTGATTTAGGACTTTCAAATTTGGTTATAAAATACAAATATATTTATAAATTAGTTGAATAATAATCACAATCATTGCTAGCATCAGCTTCAGATCTTGACTACAATCAATGAAATAATTAGAAAAACTATTCTTTATTATATACATGTAAAATAAAACACTGCTGTGTACATTTACAAATAAAATTGATTGTTCATGATGTAGAAGTATGAATTCTCATATTTATATTTTCAGGATTGAAGAAGATGAACTATTAGATAAAAAAATATCAGAAGGAAGAATTCCACTTGATGAAGAAAAATCATGTTCCATCCAATAATACTAGAAAATTGCCAAGCTTCCATTTTATAGTTCCATATTATAAAGTACATTTATCTTGTACAATTTAATTAGATTGTAAATGTAATGTATTATTAGGAATTATGGTATATTTTTTTACTTCTTGAGTTTTTCATCTTAGTAAGTATTTTCTATTCAAATAATTGGGGTAAGATTTTTTTTTTTTTTAAATATATTTTGGTGAGAGGTATAATGATGGGTTTTGCTAGCTATGAAATAATTTTTATTATAATTAGGGTGTTAACAGTTTTAAGTAAACTGAATCTCTGGGATACTTGATTAAATGTTCAGGGATTGATATCTCAATTCCACCAAAGTTTACAATCAAATAAACACCAGTATAGAGGACACAATTTTTTATTACTTAATTATTGAGTTCAATCTGATTAAAATAGAGATCGATATTTCGTTTCATTTTTTATACTTTTGATGGCATACACTACATGAAGATTTGACCATTTGTACTGGGAGGTCGAGTCAGGTCATACGAGCGGCTTTTGACCCTATGACATCAGACATTTGATTAACCAATCAGCATTGATCTTTCTAGTGGATTACCCACAGTTCTGTGCACCTCACATCAAAAGCTCGCTGTAACAGACCGTTTCATTGGCTAATCCCTCACATCATCCAGAACACGTCAATGATAACAACTCTTGTAGTAAAGACACGTAAAACGAAATGTAATAGGATCTGTGTTTTAATCAGATTCTGTTGAATTGGAACCGTCTGGACAATCCAGCATTTATCAAAGTGTACGTTTTCAACAATTGATAAACATGGCTGGTCTAGTGATAATAACTTTAATTTGTAAACTTTACAATCTTATTTTAAAGTGTGTAACTGAGTTTATATTTATCCGATTGACTTTTAAATTAAATGGTATTTATGTCCAATTATTGGACTCCAATATGTTAAATAATGATAACAATGGATTTAAATGGAAAAGTTGACATTTAGGCCAAAGCATTTAATTTTTATACGCCCACATTGAATGTGGTCGTATATTGTCCATCCATCCGTCTGTCGGTCCGGCGTCCATAATTGCTTGTGGACGCTCTAGAGGCTAAAGTTAATATATGATTGACTTTAAATTAAACACAGTGTTTGTGGTCACGAGACAAAGAATCCTTTTGATTTTCAACAATTTCCGATCATTACTGCCAGAGTTGTGGCCCTTGATCACTTTTTAAAAAATCTTGTGGTTGCTCTAGAGGCTAAGGTTAATATCCAGTTGACTTTATACATGTATTTATATAGTGTTTAACGTCAAGAGACGAAGAAGTCTATTGATTTTCAACGATTTCAGATAATTACTGCCATAGTTTTGGCCCTTGATCACTTTGAAAAATCTTGTGGATGCTCTAAAGACTAAAGTTAATATCCGATTGATTTTATATTTATACAGTGTTTAACCCTTAACCAGTCGACGTCATTTTGACGTCAAGTGTTCAGGCTAAATAAAGGCTGACGTGAAATATGCCTATTTCAATCAACTACTGCCGAATAATTATAAGTGATAGACTCCAATAAAAAAATTTGAAGGGGATAAGTTGATCTATAATTTGCAAATCATTCTAAATCCTTTTCATCAGAAATATCGTCATCAGAATATAATCGTCATCGATATAATCTGAGTCGGAATAATTCATAAGTATTTCAACCACTTCGGTAAATTACGTTTTTCGTCAAAAAATGTTGAACAAAGACATGTTTTTCTCAATGCCCTTGACAAGACAAGTTCCTGTCTGACACGCATGCGTGGCCATATCAATTAAATACGAAACTAAATACTCAAATGCTGCTTATAAAAAAGGTTCTTGCTGTGGTCGACTTTAGTCAACCGTGACCACTTAGCTGTATAACGTTGTGGTGATTATAGTCGACAATGACCGGTTAAGGTTTAAGGTCATGAGATGAAGAAGCCTATCGATTTTCAACTATCTCCAATGATTATGACAATTGATATTAAATGTTTTGTATGCTAAATGTTAGAACAGGGCAAAACTAGAAGCCAAATGGGTTGTTACTCATAATCAGATTTTAGTGTGTTGTAAATGTTTTCATTTATGACAAAAGAAAAAAAATATGCGACAAACCTTGTTGACTTCCCGGACAACTTAGCTGCTGTGGGCGTATGTTTTGTTACCTATAGTAGTTTACTACTATAACATCGCTAAAAGAAGCTGTGATACCTGATGTGTTTGTTTTGAGCTGCAATTGGTTTCCCTTTGCAGGCTCAATTTGTTTGTTAATGCCTGTGACATCTTGAACATAAGATAATTCTATATTATTTTGACAAATCAACATACACAGCCCAATCTATAGCGACACAACTTTAGCATAACTGCAAATATTATTGGTTAAATTCATCAAGTAGTGTTTTTCACCAATTTTGACATGTTATTCATAGTCAAGATGCACCAAACGCAGACATACTTATTTTGTATTTTAGACTTAAAATTGTCAGTCTAGATTTAAAAGTCAAGATAGAACTCTAAGGTACTTTATCTGGAGTTGTATAAACAATGTTTTGTTTAAAATTTTAAGCCTTAAAAATTTGGAATTAAAAAGCTTTTTGTTTTTAGATTTTTTTGTTCCTTTTTAAGAACAAAATAAAATTGGTATGACCTTGTTTTCAAACTGACTAAATATAATTCATGGAATAATTTATATCCTTGAGATAATCTTTCTCTTAGCGAGTTCTGCTTTCTCTATAATTATTAAAATATCTGATGCAGGATATGGAGAAGAAAAATGGCTGAGTACCCTTACTAGATATGTTGATTTATTTGTTGAATTTCATCTTGTTTTAGAATTTGGCATATATTATGTATATTTGATTAAAAATTATTTATGTTCAAATGTAAATTATGTTAATCACATAATGTTTTGTGTGTTTTTGGTGCCATTTAATGTTAACCTGTTTTAGTGCTATATTAAGATGGTGAAAGATTACAAACTTTAAGTCTCAGATTTTTGTTAAAAAAAATAGATAAATTCTGCTTAATGTCTTTTCTGGCCAAATAGGATTTTAATTTAAGTTAAAAAATTCATATAGTATACATAGTTTGGAAGGTAGGTAGCATGGCAAGGCTTTCATTTAGCATAATCATATCTGTGCAAGCATTAATAAATAATGTATGGCATTTTGAACTATAAGATTTGATTAGCATTAAGAAGTTGGAATTTGACTAAAATATGTTTGTTTTAAATAAAGAGAGTTGAACCATAAAATCTTATTTAGTGTACAGAATAACTGTATTGATTGAGTCAGAGATATATTTCATACTTGTCATCCATCTATATTATACTAGATGTTATAGATTCTACCGCTGTAATTGATTAGTTTGCTCTTTAATAACTTATTGTCAACTTTTAGCTCAACTGGCATAATAGTAATAATATACTGTTTGTAAGCTCATGTATATATTATAGTAAAACCATTAACAATGTAAATAGTTTTAGTTTATGAAGTATATGACCAAATGTCTGTAATAAAAAAAGGCTTTAATTAATGTACCACTGAACTATGAACTATCAGTGTAGACTTGTGTAAAGGAAAACTATGTAAAAATACTGTAATTTGCATAGATAGTCCATTATGGTTTTCAGCATAAACCTAAAATGTCCTGTGTTTAGAATACAACTAAATAGAGTCCCTTCATGGTAATCTCTTGTTTTCAAATTCATCTTGTTTAATTTATTTATTCAAACGCAAAACCTTAGGTTACCAGTTGAGAAAATCATTAATGGCATGAACATTTAAAATTTTGTATATAACATATATTTGAAGTAAATGTGTATAATCAACTTATTGTACATAATATTTATATAGTAGTATTGTTTACATTGTTTGTATTCTATACATATGTATGGTGCTCTATAACCATACCTGTGATACATTATGTGCTTATTATTTATTGTTAAATTTGTACTGGTAAAAACAGTTATCGTTGAGTCTTTGTGGAATTTTGATGAAACATATACGATCAGAATATTTTTGTGCAGAGATTTGTAGATTTGGTGTGATTGTCACAGGTATGGTTGTGTTTATAACCCTTGTGTTGCTTCAATTATCTATCAATTATTATTCTTCAAAATCTATATTCTGGATCGATATATGTTATATTTCAGTAAGGAGTGCATGGTTATTGAATGATTATTAATATATTCTATGTTTATGTTTGTAAAAACTATGATGATAACAGAAATTCTATATCATATCAACATTATTTCTTACCATAGCAATGTAGAAGATGCAGTTAATTCATTAAAGGAGCAGTCACAGATACATTTAATGAATAAAACTGCTTAATACTATTACAAAAATTTATTCTTGCCTTGTAAAACTATCTGGAGCTTTGTGATAATTATTTGAAGAAATAGAAATGGAGTGTTTTATTCTCATTGGCAACACCTTTCTAAATGGACAGTTACAACATAATTTTGGTGATCATTTGTGACAGGCTTAATATATTTAATATTTGGAGTTGAAACTTTCAAAGTTCGTAAATATTTCTGTTTACTTTAAAGTTTTGACATCTAAAATGTTTAACAAAAACTATATGAAATGTAACTCCATAAAAATAACTTTAGTCAAATCGTCAATTTCAATTTTTTAATTCTGGTTGGTTTCATGGGGAGACATAAACATTAGAGATTTACTAATACTAAATTGTATGAATGAAACTACTAGATATAATATATTACACATCATTTCAAGATCCATCTTGACTTTAACATGACAAAAACAAGTCTAGGTTGAATTATAATTGGCTGAGAAACTTTAGCATCCACATTAAGTACATTGCTGACATCATTTATGATGCTTGATTTATAAAAGTAAAATACAAAGCATCTTTTCTATTTCATAAACAATTTCTAATCTTTCAACTTTATTATATTTCTCTTATTTTGATTTAACCCAGGGTTTAATGTCTTGTAATTAGTATAAAATTTGTTGACCGGACTAGTAGAACTGTAACCTTTAGAGGAACATACAGTAGTTGTTTTTGTTTGGATTTTTTGCTTAGTAGGTCGAATGTCATAATAGTTTTGTCTCGGAGTTGTATGGTGTTTGTATATCAGTTGGTAAAGGGTAGATATACCCAGCATTTGTTTTGACAGTAAAGTACTGTTGGTAATACATGTAGTAGGCCAAACTTATTATTAGTTATGTAAATATAGGGACAAATATATAAACTAAGACTGAAAGATACCTTCCCGTGTACAAACTAGGTGATTTGATTATATATTTAATTAAAAACATATTCAAACTATAATCTTATCAAAAATTTGCTGCAAAACCCCCCTCAAAACATTGTATTCGGGAGGAAATACCCCAATATATATATAAAAAAGTCTATTTTTAGAAGACATGTCTGTCCCGTAACTTGATTGAGGAACGGCCCATTTTCAGAATGTATTTGTCAGTACTTACTGTACGTTTACCATACATATTGAAGCTTACGTAAATTCTTGGTGTATCTTCATTTTCCACGGTTTAATTGCTGAGTCTGTTGTACATTTAAACCCCTCAATGTTCCCCAAAACACTTAATCAATCAAGATATAACACCCGCTTCCTAAGTCAAGCTGGCAGACTACATTAATTACTATTAATAAAAAGAATGATAATAGTATAATATTATTAAGTCTTAAGGATTGATTTTAAGTAACAATTGATTTACCTTTTACTGTATAGCCTATGCCAGAAACTCGTCCTGCAATAATAATATGTACAATGGTTCTTGTATGTGGTGTGCTATAAAATTGTGATATTTCTTGTATATGAATATTTTATGCTGTTAATGATGTATAGTGAATATTGTATATTATGCTGTTATAATTGATATTGTACATGTAAAGCCTTTTTAAGTGTGAAAAGTAGTTGTATGGAAAGCAGTGATGGTGTATCAGGTTATACTGAAAACTGAACACCCTACCACTGGCAAAAAACAGGAATTATGATAAAAGTCTAATATAAGGGCATAATGATGAATAATTAAACTGTTAAAACCATTTATGTTATAATTAATGGATGTCCCAAGAACAAAATCTGTAAAAAAAGCTTTTAATGGATTTTAATAAATGGTTTATCACTGATGTAATGATTGTTTCAAATCTATCAAAATAGAAAAGACATGATTAATAAAGACTGTGTTGGGGTTGGTGTCCTCTGAAAGGGGATTTGCTGATTTGAGAGGAGAGGAGAGGAGGGCGTAGTAATAGATGGTTCGATTGTGCCGTTTGTAACTCAAATAAATTTGCCACCTCGAAACGCATCGGATATGGCTGCCCTGACAAATTCCTGTGTATGTGGAATAGCTTTATTTAACATTCCCTTCCACCGAAGTGATATCGCAGACAATCACAAATTCCTGTTACATCTACATGTACAGTATATGACTTTCCAGTACCATCTGTATACCCTTCTCATTTAGGAAAATTTAATGAGAATCAAAGCGTAGGGATACATAAAATATATTCATAGACTATTATTTAGTTAAAGTAGCTAAGTCTAACTCAATATCATCCAAAGTCTTTGACATTGAAAACACGAATTATTTGTCAACTTAATCAACATTGATGTTGTGATCTCATCGGGAAAAGATGGCCTTCTGAAATCCAATATTTAAGACAAAATTAACAGTTTACCATTGGTACACGAATTGTGTACCATAATGGCATGCGTTTCAGTGTCATTTGTAACAAGGGACTCGAAGAATGAGGCTAGACATATTCCACAAGTCATGTTAAACGGTGAACCATATTCTTATTTGGAGAGAGAGAGAGAAATGGGGTTTAACGTCCACTCGACACAAACTATGTTTTTTTTTAAATTTTATTTCAATAATTCGCCTGCGCGTAGGGGTTTCAGTGGGAGGAAACCGGAGAAAACCCACGAGGTTGGACAGGCGACCCTACTCCTTGTCGCGTACAACCGGGGATTCGAAACCACGCCAGTCGACTCAATGACAGACTTTATGATAGATCGCGCGCACGCTAACCATTTAGCCATCCAATCCCCCCATTTGGAGAGCATGCGCAAGAAATACCATCGGTGTAAACTGGAGTAATCAGAGATTGCCATTCGATTGCCATTTCGCGGAACATAACTGGTTAGAAATTACAGTAAAAAGAGAAACAATTGAATTTAAATCAGTTTATATACATTCATATTACACTATTATATGCGTTGCAACCCATTTGTATCAATTGGGGGGGGGGGGGGGGGTGCTACCATCCTAGGACTTTAGGCAAGGGTCCATGGGCCGCCTAAGAAGTGAAATTTTATTCCTTTTCTAAATCCCTGACCATGCAAACACAATCGATGGTGGTTTCCTGCGATACTGAACTTGACTAATATATGCATAATAATAGCAAAGTTGCGACCACTCTAGAGGTCATATTTTTATACGATTTTGATGAAACTGACAATGTATATGTTCATAATCGAAAGATCTCAGTTTGTTTCGATAGTAGCGCACATAGGATCGTCACTTCCTATATATACATTTTTAGCTTGTGGACACTTTAGAGCTCACAGTTTTTATATGATTTTAAAAAAAAATGTATCACCGTTACACCATAATTACGGTTGAGTGCAAATTTCGCGAAAATCGAACCGAATACCGGACAAAATCTTTGTTACCCTTAAAAGCATGTAATATCCAGGTTGTGGACCACCCAGAGGTTCGAATTTTCATCCAATCTGATATATCCAATCGTATTGGACCATAACTGTCTGGATTATGACCCCTGATTGTACGAAATATCACGTTTTTAGCTTGTGGACCGGCTAGAGGTCACCATTTTTTTCTTATTTTCAAACCTATTAAAATGTATCACCGTTACATAATAAATAGTCTAAAAACATGTTATGCCCAGGTTGTGGATCATCTAGAGGTCATAATTTCTATCCGATTTAGATGAAACTTAAACCGAGTATCACCAGTTCTTGGATGGGTTTAATTTTGATACGCATTGGTCCCCTGTCATTTACGCAAAATGTGAAACACGAATGAAGTTTGTGGACCTTCCAGAGGCGACAACCTTTGTCCGATTCATGAGTAACTCAATATCATCCAAAGTCTTCGACATTGAAAACACGTATTATTTGTCAATTTAAATCAACATTGATGTTGTGATCTTACTGGGAAAAGGTGGGCTTCCGATATCAAATATTTAAGACAAAATAAAGATTTTATTATGGGTACACGAATCGTGTACCATGTGTTTCAGTGCCATTTGTAACAAGGGACTCGAAGAACGATGGTAGACATATTCCACGGTGACGTGATATTCTTATCTGGAGAGCATGCTCAATAAATACTATCGGTGTAAACTGGAATAACCAGACGCTAGAGATTGCCATTCATAAAAGTATCCGTGTATCAGAAATGAACAGTACGCTTTCCAGAAAGAGTACTGTTCATTTCCGACAAACAAACACTTTTATACAAGCATTGAAAATAAGCAGAATGAAAACAAACGCCTAGAAAGTCATAAATTTTATTACAAATAAATTTCAACGGACGAACCATCCGCCGATGCACACTTCACCAGGATTGACCCACGTTGTGCATTGTCCTTTACATAACGTTTAATTTAATTGCAGTCCTCTACGCCAGGGACAAGTTGTTTTGACGATGAGGTTGGCTCATGTTCACCGACTTCGTCAAGACAACTTCGTCTTTCAATACTGAATGCAGTCTAAAAAAAAACACATTGTCAAAACAACTTGTTCCTGGCGTAGAGGACTGCAATTATATTAAACCGCCAGGGGCGTAAATGCGGGGGTGGGGGTGGGGGGTACACCCCCCCCAGGAAAAAAAATAGTCGGTCGCAAAATCAGTGCAGTCGGTCGCAAAATAAGAGCAGTCGCAAAATCAGTGCAGTCGGTCGCAAAATAAGAGCAGTCGGTATCAAAATAAGTGCTCACTGCACACGTCACGCAAAACTTTAGTATAAAATAACCTTGTCAACTTAATGTGTTTCACTCTTATTCTGTTCTGAGTGTGTAGGTCTAAGAACAAAATTTCCCCAAGGGAGAAAAATAGTCGGTCTCAAAATAAGTGCAGTCACTGCAGTCGGTCTCAAAATTATGCATCGCCGTCTTAATGAATTAATGAGGTAAACAAATAATGCCAGAATAGATCCCAAATACTAGTCGGTCGCAAAATCAGTGCAGTCGGTCGTAAGATATGAGCAGTCGGTATCAAAATAAGTGCTCACTGCACACGTCACTCTATTCACGCAAAACTTTAGTATAAAATAACCTTGTCGACTTATCATGTTTGAAAAAAAATGTTTTTCACCCCATGGCAAAAAAATAGTCGGTCTCAAAAAAAAAGTGCTCACCGCAGTCGGTCTCAGACTAAATGAATTAATGGGGTGTTTTCTGACCATCAGAATTCTGCAAAATCTCTCCCCAAAGTCCAGGGCATTTCAGAGACCAAGTAAGCGCCCCATTGAGGTAAAGTGCCCTCAGGCCCAGTCCTTAAAAATTAAAAGCTCAGTTACATATGCCATCATTCTTCAACTCCTTCTCTGTCTTATACTATCTCATCACTATCATATTCACAGTTACAGTGAATCGCCCAATTAATAGTACCACTAGTGAGTGAGTCGTGGGTCAAAAGACTGTAGAATTGTTAGTTCTACTCTCACAAAACAGGCGACATTGACAGATAGGCCTCAAGATTCTGTCCCATTTCTTATCCTCTTTGTTAACGAGAATTTGGATCCATTTGCCATGACATTGACTAAAATTAAAAGCTCGGTTACACATCTCAAATTTTTTCGCGCTTGCGGCGCTCGATTCAGTTATAACATCATTCTTCCACTCCTCTGTCGTCTTATACTGTCTCAGCACTATCATATTCACGGTTATACTGAACTGCCTAGTTATGTTAGTAGTACCATTGGCACTGGTGTGTGGGTCTTGGGGCGTCAGACTATACAAAAGTTCTGTCAACTCTTGCAAAACAGGCGGAATTGACAGGGGGGAGATCTTGAGATTTTGTCCAATTGACTCACATTTCTGGTCCTCTCGTCCACAAGAATTTCTCCCAGCAATGACCTCAAATGCCAAGATATTGACTCAATTTTTCACATTTTTCTCAGGTTGCTCAGTGTTATAGGCACAATCATATATGACATAAACTTTATATCAACTTAAATAAAACTGCTTTCCAGCGAGACAACGATCGGCAAACAACTATATAATTATACAATACCATCTATGTTCTACCGGGACGCTTAATGTTATAGCCAGTATTTTGTTGATATTCATTGTGGGGTGGGATTGTGGCTGGGGTGGCGCCCTAGATTTGGTCGGATTTTGGCTAAACACCCCCCCCCCAAACAAAATCGTTATGTACGCCCCTGATTAAACGTAATGTAAAGGAAACTGCACAACGTGGGTCAATCCTGGTGAAGTTAGCATCGGTGGATGGTTCGTCCGTTGAAATTTATTTGTAATAAAATTTATGACTTTCTAGGCGTTTGTTTTCATCCTGCTTATTTTCAATGCTTGTATAAAAGTGTTTGTTTGTCGGAAATGAATAGTACTCGTTCTGGAAAGCGTACTGTTCATTTCTGATACACGGATACTTTTATGCCTGTATTGGAAATAAACTAGACAGTTTTATCAAAGGTTGCCACTGGCAACGAGGTAGAAGTGGGATGTAAGTTTAAAATACAGACCGGTTTGCGACGGTCACATGGGTAACTTCACTAGTTTTGTTTTCTTCTGGTCTACAGATGTCTCACATTATTCCGTGCACATCTCGCGTTTAGTTGGACTAAACCGAGCATTCTATAATTGGGTACAAAATTCACCGACCATGCACTAAATGGGGCCAAAATTTTTAAAATTTCTGTGGTCAATGTGCACCGAAACACACTGCAAAGTTGTGTGTGTCGAACTAACTATTTCATTTAGTGTCGGGTTACGGTTTTGTAGACCTTTGGGGTGCAGGCACTGTGGGGCCCCCCGTGAAATTTTGTTAAGGAAAAATATGTTTTAAATTTTTTTTTTTTTTTTAGAAATCTAACAGCCATTAAAATTCAAGCATTTGGTTTGCATAATATTGCGTATC